TGTATATATACATACATATGTATATACATGCATATATATATATATATGTGTGTGTATATATATATATATATATATATATATATATATAGTCTTTAAACAGGAACACACGCAAAACAAAGTTATGTATTGATTAATGTTGTGAGCAGAGGATCACAGAACCTAACCCCCTGCCTTTCCCCTAGGAAAGATATGATGTGGTATCTACTAAAGCAGTGTTCCTTTCTAGAACATAACTTCCTAGAATGAGGAATGATTGCTCTTAGCACTATCCAAAATCATCTTATTTAATCTTCTTAGGTGTTTCTTATTAATTGTGCTTCTCCAGCACCAGTGATTGTGCCTGACAAAGTATTTACCCAATACTAGTTTTTAAATAAAAAGTTCGATTTACACGAGTCAATTACATCTTTGGGCATTATTCTTTGTTCTTTCCAAGTATTGGAGATCTTTAACCATAAGAAGGGAGTTTGGACCCAATGGAACAAGACAGAGGTATCTGGAACTTCCAGAGGAGCACATCAGCGTGGCTAATATCCACACAGGCAGCCAAAGCGCTGGGAGGCCTGATGCCCAAGGCCAGGTTCTCTGTGTGGTCTCCCCCCAGGAATCTTCTGGAGGCACTAAGGAGAGAGGACGAGAGGGACCAGATAGACCTGGTGCTGCCATGTTGCCTGGCCTGGTTGGAGGAAAATCTTGTGACACTGCTGACATCACTGACAGGTGATCGCCACCACAGGCCCCCTTACCTTTATAAAGGAAATCCAGTTGGCTCTCTTTTTCAGGGCTATAGGTGGTCCTGACAAATTCTCTGCTTTAGCTGTTCCAGCCTCATAGTCTGGAAACATCTGCATTCTCTGTTGCTCTGTGAAGATGCTTTGAAATTTTTGGAAAACCTAAATAAGATTTAGAAGAGAGAAGTGAAAAAAAAAGTCTCAGATGATATGCAATTTCAAAAACAGCTACTGATTATCTTTGAAATAGCCATGGAGTCAAACTGATTCATAACAAGAATCTGTGATAGCAATAGGGCCTTACATGGACGTAGCTGTGTGGCACATGTGCAGTCAGCTCCTTACCCTAACTGTCACTTATCCTGAATGTCTGCTGCAAAGATTGGAAATACATTAGCATATTTATTTGTGTGTATTTTGAGCTGGGCCCTAAATGTAAGAAGTACATTGTCCACATCTGGAAACGTTTTGACTTTTTTCTGACCACCTCATAAAATAGAACATCCAAGGGTCAAGTATATCCTACTCTCAGAAGCCTGACTGGGATGTTACTAGAAAGAAGAGTCCAGATGCTAGAACCTCTTAAAACTTTTTAAGGTGCCTTGGCCTATTCCCTTCACATCTCACTTCCAGACTGAGGCTGCAAATGCTTTCTATGACATGACTTCCTACTACTAAAGTGCTGAGCATTTCCTCCTTTATTCTCCTGAGTGGCCCCAGGATCCACTGGCCCTTTGATGGCACCTCCATGATGCGTTGGCCAACTGCATCATGGCATGCTCACTACATGGTGATGGTTGCACAATAGTGTAATGTCCTTAATGCCACTGAACCATCTCCTTAAAATGTTCAAAATGGCAAATTTTATGTTATATGTATTTTACCATACATGTACATACACATGCACAAACACACATATACATACACATACAAAGAACCTACCATGCATGGTGCTGGCACATACTAAGATCTCAACAATGGTTTCTGAAGTGAGTGAGCAAGTTTGTGAGTCACAGAGCTGAATATTCTTCCAGTGCATGCTGGTGCTTCTGTGGCTGTCGAATACAGTTGTACCTCGCCACATGTGGCATTTTAACATTTAATTGAGGATTAATTAAAGATTAAGTAAACTGCTGGGCAAGGTGGTACACACCTGTAATCCCAGCAGCTCTGGAGGCTGAGGGAGGAGGATTGTGAGTTCAAAGCCAGCGTCAGCAAAAGCGAGGAGCTAAGCAACTCAGTGAGACCCTGTCTCTAAATAAAATACAAAATAGGGCTGGGGATGTGGCTCAGTGGTCAGATACCCTCAGTACCAAAAAAAAAAAAGAAAGAAAGAAAAAGAAGAGATTAAGTAAACTTGAAAATTTAGTTTCTCAGTTGTAGTAGCCACATTCCAAGAGCTCAATAGCTATAGGTGATTACTGGTTAACTTATAGGTCAGAGCAGCCAACATATTCATCACTGGGAAATTCAGCAAGACAGTGCTAGATTAGGACTGAATTGCACATTTTCTTCAAGGGCCAGATAGTAAGTATTTTAGTCTTTACAGACCACAGGGGCTCTGTTGCAACTACCCAAGTCTGCTGTTGTAGTGAAAGCAGCCATAGATAATACATAAATGAATAGGCATGATTATGCTATTGTCTGAATATTTATTTATGATCCTACACAATTTGTGTATTGAAATCCTAATCCCCAAGGTGGTGGTATTAGGAGGTGGGGACTTTGGGATGTGGTGAATAGCATTAGTGTCACATTAAAAAAACCCAGAGAGACCCTTGCCTTTCTACCATGTGAAGACACAGCAAAAAGGCACCATTTATGAGCCAGAAAACAGGCCCTCACCAGACACTGTATCTACCTTGGTCTTGAACTTCTCAGTCTCCACAAGTGTAAAAAATATATTCTTTTCATTTATAAGCCACCGAGTTATAGCCATCTAAATGGGCTGAAGCACTGTATTCCAAAGAGTTTGATTTTAGAAAAACTAGTGTTGGGCAGCAGGCTTTGGGTTTGCTGAACTGACTCTGCTCCAGGGACATTAAAGTACCAGAATAAACATTATCTAAACATAAGAACTCTCCCTACACAAAAATGTTGTTGTAATATGATTGATTAGCTCAGGAGCACAGTTAACGTTTCACATGATGCTATTATAAGAAAATCAAATGGCAACTATCACCACATGGAGGAGACAAGTTGTCCTTTGGAACAAGGCTGCTTTGTTGAAGTGCCCAGCTGGCCTGTGTCCTCTTGTTTATCATTGATAATAGTCTACTGTGCTACAATTTATTATTACTTATTCTGTTCTTTTTAAATACCATCCTATTCCTGTTCTGTGTTTTGCCCTTCATAACACTTGGTGATGATAAGGCTGAGGACACTCCCTAGAAGCCCCGTGAGGACAGTGCTGCTGGGTCAACAGAAGAAAAACAAAAGCTAAACATCATCACCTTCAAAGAAACTGGAGGAATGTGATACCACTGGTTTCACTGAACTGCGTTACTAATGGAAATGATGGAAATGATCCCGGTAGAATGATGCAAGAACAAGTACAAACCCAAGGGCAACTTCAAGGTCAAACGAATGATGATAGAGGAGAGAGTAGCACTTGTCATATGAAGAGCAATCCAGAACACTCAGATTTAATTTTTGCCCATTTGGATCCGTTCATTTGTTACTTTTATTTAGCAAATATATACATTTGCAAATAATATCAGCTAGAGGTAGAAAACTATTTTTATTGTCAAAACATTTGCTGAGAAATTTTGTTATATCCGATGCTCTTCACCCATACTCCTGTTTTTCCTTTTGCAACAAGTTTTAACATGGCTTTTGACGATGTGAGTTCCTTTTTCAGGTTATACAACACTGTGTTTTCTTGTTTTTTGTTTTGTTTTGCTTTGGGAGGGGAGGTACCAGGTTCGATTGAACTCAGGGGTGCTTGACCACTGAGCCACATCCCCAGCCCTATTTTGTATTCTATTTAGAGACAGGGTCTCACTGAGTTGCTAAGCACCTCGTTGTTGCTGAAGCTGGCTTTGAACTCATGATCTTCCTGCCTCAGCCTTCTGAGCCACTGGGATTATAGACATGTGGTACCGCACCCAGCTAACTCTGTGTTACAGCAGAGAAGATTGTGACTCTAAACCTCACGACACAAGGTACACTTTGTTGAATATAAAGCATTTTGTCAGCAAGGAGAGTACTGCCACACATTCTGAGAATCAGAGGGCTTTAGACACTTGATGACTCTACCATGCAAATTTGCCAGATCTTGGCTACATTTTTAGTTCCTACAGACTGTTGCCCAGCCTTTCCTTTAAATTCTGCAGAAAAAAAAAAATCCTACAGTTCCTCTGGGTTTGCCATTGGAAGGTCCCATTCCTCTTATGGAAAGTAAGTTCTTCCTAACTGCCAACCTAAATGTCACCTATTACTATTTTATCTAGAAACAACCTTGGCAATATAAATATGCATCTTGGTGGCAAATAATGGTGTTTTCCTTCACGGACATCTAGATTTATTAAGAGTACATATAGGGGGTGGGGTTGTGGCTCAGTGGTAGAGCGCTTGCCTAGAATGTGTGAGGCACTTGGGTTTGATTCTCAGCACCACATATAAACAAACAAATAAATAAAGGTCCATCAATAACTAATAAATAAAAAAAAGAGTACATATAGTACCAATGAAAAAAGTTCCATTTCCTTAGCAGAGTTCCTTAGCTCCTGCAGGTCGTATGGGATATGGAAGTGTGACAACAGGAGCCTCAGCTGAGGTTTCAGTTCTCCTGTTTCTGTTGTGTGTTGGGGCAGGATGAAATCAGCATCTGTTCTCATTGGCCCTGAAAAAGATCCAAAATCAAGAGCGTGAAGGCCAAAGAATACAGGAGGGTCTACAGAAAGGCACAACCAGGCGGCCACACATCAACTCAGTTCTCACAGAAGCATCCAGGTTAGGTTCAAGAGCAACACTTTGCTTTGATAGGGAAGGAAGGAGTTAGAGGTGGAACCTCAGAGGGTCCTTGGAGATAACTAAAGATAGGCCCTCCTCTGCCCCTTGCCCAACCTTCTCTGCCACATTTATAATCAGCACCACACTTGGCCAGGTGTATCCGACAAGTCCTCGGAGCTAGATTTCTGCAGGAGAGAGCCAGGACTCCCCACCCTCTCACAGCCTGCAGGAGGAACCCAACAGACCTTTGGGAGATGACTAAGTGGAAGCATCCCTGCCCAGATTTCTTTGTGGCAAATGAATTATATCACTTAAACATTAATCAACAAATGAGAAGAAGGTGAGAGCTTTCACCTTCTTGTGTCTAATTCCTATTCAACTCTAAGGACCCAGCTGGAATTCCCCTCCTCTCCATCAAGAAAACTTCTGAGATCCCCATCACTGAGGTTGGCTGCCACTCCCAGGTGCTCCTGGGACACTCTGTGCATACCCTAAGCAAGAATGGTACTCTAAGTTACATCAGGTTTCTTGACCATCTGTAACAAAAGACCAGGAAGACTATATTAAATTGATTCTGATGAATAATTAGTTTAGAATTGTGTGATCTTAAAACTGAAAGGAACACTAGAGATCACTTAATCTGAAAGGTTTATTATGTAATAAGTAAACTGAGGCCCAAGAAAATGCAGGCCTAGATGGGCAGGACAGAAACAACCCCAGAACCCAAATCTCCTGATGTCAAGTCCATTTTTTCCCTTTCTCTTAATTTGTGAATTACAAAGATCAAAATGTCTAAGGGAAGTGGTTAGTGATTTTTCTCATCAGAAAACATAAAATTAACATTTGTTCATTAGGAAGATACAACTTTTGATACATAGAAAAATGTTTGCGGGCTGGGGATGTGGCTCAAGCAGTAGCGGGCTCGCCTGGCATGCGTGCGGCCCGGGTTCGATCCTCAGCACCACATACAAACAAAGATATTGTGTCCGCCGATAACTAAAAAATAAATATTAAAAAATTCTCTCTCTCTCTCTTTAAAAAAAAAAAAAGAAAAATGTTTGCAAGATCATGGTACTAAACAGCACATGTCCCCAAACACAATCTTCTTTTCTCCACATTACCCTAGGGGGAAGAAGAATAATTTCTTACCTGAAATGCTAGTATCCACCAGGCCAAAAGATGCAGGACCCTGGATGTTGGGGTCCATGTCATTGACACAGACCTTGTCATTTTCCTGACCAGCCTCAGGGTCTTGGTTGTCAGCTGGACTCAGCATGTTGGAGATGGGCAAATACTGAAGGGCCTACAGAAGGATATAACCATAAGCCACACATCAACCTGATTCTCAGGGAAGCTTCCAGACTCAGGTTCAGGAGCAGCACTTTGCTTTGATAGGAAAGGAGGGAGCTAGAGATGGGACCTTAGGAATCTGCTAATGATGAGGAACTAAATTTGAAAATGGGAAACCAGTATTGTTACCAACTCTGAGTGACCTTAACCTCCAGCCAGTTCTACACCAATCACACAACCAAAACAGACAAAGCCTTGTAAGGTACTAATGATATAAAGAGAAACAAGGGCTGGGGATATAGCTGAGTTGGTAGAGTGCTTGCCTCACATGCATAAGGCCCTGGGTTCAATCTCCAGCACCACAAAAATAAAGAAAGAAATAAAAAGAAACAAGTTGGTTCCCCACCTTGGAATTCACATTTTGGTGGAGGACCCAAATGGATGAGCAGATATTTATACCACCATGTGAGTGGGGAGAGGTATTAGAGGTGTAGCCCACAGTGACTAGACGTGAAAAAGAAGTCAAGTCAGGTGATGGCCAGGTTTCTGGTTTGAACTCAGTGGTGTCACTGAAATAAGGAGGAAAGGAGTAAGAAAAGATTTAGGTAGCCAAACAATAATCTTTCTAAAATGGAAATGTAATCATGTAACTCCTTTGTGACCCTCCAGCCTGAGTTAGGTCCTCTCCTCTGTGCCTTTACCTTGTACTTGCTTTGTTTACTTTGTCTCTTACGCCATTGCATTTCAGTAAAAGTTTACTTGCCCTGCCTGCCTGGGACCTCATTACCTTTCAGCAAAGACCACATTTTGCTGTGTGGCCTAGGACAAGTAGCTGGCAGACTCTCATTAAATATTGCTGACTAACAAAGTAGACCCCTGTTGAAGAGCATAAATCTTGAACAGAAAACAGGATGAAAACAGAAAGTTACAGAGTGAATGGGAAATAATACATCTGAGCCATCTTTGAAAGAGCTGAATTAATGCAGTGATTTCAACGGAGCAAGTTTTTTTAAAAAATTCCAGTGACTCATTGCTTTCCTGTCCTTTTTAGAGCAGGTAGAGTACAGAAACCCTGACAAGATGACAGATGCGAGAAAACAGCATGGTGGCCATTCGTGGGAGTGCATCACAGGGTCATATGAGCATTTGACATACCTGTAGATAGTGGTGAACAGTCCTGAAAGAGTGTAGGTGACACACTAACCACCTTGTGTAAATTGTCACATCTTCCAGCATCACTAAGTTAGGAGGATTCTTTTTTCCCATAAGGAAGTTTTCTCGAGCAATGGATAATCTTTCAGCTCTCTGGACAGCATCACTGTATTCCTGCATAATGTAGCCAACTCGTTTCTGTTTAAGAGAGATAGGAAGACAGAGCTTGGCATTGGCAAGCCTTATTCTCTGTGCCATTGGCTTCCAAGCATAGGGGAATGATGTCTGGGGGCCAAATAAAGGGTGAATCCCAAAGTTCCACCATATTCTGAATTTGACTGATAAAGGCAGTGTTCATATTCTTAATTAGGACTTTGAAGGAGAAAGACTGCAGACAGTCAGTGCATCAGGAGATTTAGTTACTGGACTCAGCTTTTGAGCTGTCACCTACAGCAGCGGAAGCCAAGTCTAGAGAGAAACACACATATTCTATCATATAAAACTTTCTTCATATCTCATTCTTAAAAATAGGAACCATTATCTTCTGCCACTAGCAGAACAGGCAAGAAGATGCACCAATCGATTCCTTTCCTATCTTTGTCAGTGATTTAAAAACATGGACAAGCTTATTGACCATTATTTTTATCATAAAAAAATAGCACACAGAAGTTAGCCAACCCCCAAAAAACAAATGCTGAATGCTTTCTCTGATATAAGGAGGCTGACTCATAGTGGGGTAGGGAGGGGGAACATGGGAGGAATAGATAAATTCTAGATAGGGAAGAGGGGAGTGAGAGAAAGGGAGGAGGCAGGGGATTAGCAAGGATGGTGGAATGTGATGGACATCATGATCCAAAGTGCATGTATGAAGACACAAATTGGGTGTCAACCTACTTTATATACAGAGATACGAAAAATTGTGGTATATATGTATAATAAGAATTGTAATGCATTCCGCTGTCGTGTATTTAAAAAAATTATATATATAATATATATATACACATGAAAAAAAATAGCCCACAGGTACTATTCATGGTTTCCTACCTTGTAAAGAGGATAAAGTTGCTCCATGGTCTTACTCTGCTGGCAAAACCTCTTCCACCTAACCACGTGTAAATATTTACACTGGGCCAACTGGGTAATTCTCTCTGTGTAATACTTTAACCAAAAAGAAAAAAAAAGCACTTAGCAGAACACTATTGTAATAGGAAGACTGACTTAAGTCTTAAGAACACAAATTTAAAAAGTCGGGGAAGAAAGAACACAAATAATAGGTAAATCGAACTCTGATTGTTTTAGAAAAATGTACTTTACTACATGAAGACCATAAAATTAAGAAGTCTGGCTTATGATACCATTCAAACTTAAATAAAACATGTAGAGACTTCTAAATTTTCCTGATATGTTGCCAAGTGAATAGTTTATAAGCTCATTTATAAATTATAGAACAATCTTAGCAGTGATATTAAGGTCTATCAAATTATCCAATGTAGGCTTTAATTTTCTATTAAGAACTGAAATGATTCAAAATGCAAAGTACAACACAGGTAATATTAAAGCTTTTAACCTCAGATCAGAAGTTTTATTTACACTTAAAAATATTAAATAAGGGCTGGGGTTATGGCTCAGTGGCAAAGCGCCTGCCTAGCACATGTGAGGCACTGGGTTCGATCTTCAGTACCACATAAAAGTAAAATAAAGGTATTGTGTCTATCTACAACTAAAAAATAAGATAGTTAGGAGCTAGGATTGTGGCCAGCAGTAGAGAGCTTGCCTAGCATGTGCGAGACACTGGGTTGGATCCTCGGTACCACATAAAAATAAATAAAATAAAGGTATGTGTCCAACTACAACTAAAACAATATTTTTAAAAAGTAGTTAAATAAGCCAGGCATTGCAGCACATGCCTATAATCCCAGCAACTCAGGAGGCTGAGGCGGGAGGATAACAAGTTTGAGGCCAGCCTCAGCAACTTAGGGAGACCCTTTTTCAAAATAAAAAGGGCTGGGGATGTAGCTCAGTGGTAGAGTACCTCTGGGTTCAATCATCAATCCTCATACTGAAAAAAAAAAAAAGATTAAATAATCTTTTGAAAATGTTTTCTTTCTAATAATAAAAATAATGCTGGCTATGATAGAATAACTGGGACTAGCTCTATCATGTCCTTCCATCATAAGCAAGTAGAAAATTGGAAAAAATAGGGGCTGGGATTGTGGCTCAGTGGTAGAACGCTCATTTAGCACATGCGAAGCCCTGGGTTCGATCCTCAGCACCACATAAAAATAAATAAATAAAATAAAGGTATTGTTTCTAACCACTTCCAAAAAATAAAAAATGTTAAAAAGAAAAAGAAAATTGGAAAAAATATACAAGTCAATTGTTTTCTGACTGTGAATAGGCAGGACTATAACCCCTACAAGAAGGAAACATATAATGTCAAACTCCCGTCACCCTGCAGTTTCTGAGACATGGAAAGGAACAGGGAATCCCAAGCAGAGTAAGTATTCTCTCTGAGTTAAGAAGGGAGAAAGTGAAACTTGTAAGTGGAGTCAGGAGTTTGCAGAGTGGAATACTAGAGACGGGAAACTAGGTAGAGAAAGGACTCCAGAAATACGCAGCGATCCCTTGAAGTCTGTGGCTGAATACCTAGCCAGGTGTGTAGAGGGTGAAACTCCACGTTGCTGCACCAAGGAGAACTGACTGGGGTGTTGTAAACTGAACAGATGTTCAAGATCCACCCAGCCAGAGCAAAGGAACTTCAGTGGGCACTAGATCTTCACTGGGACCCAGGACATTCAGTGGACACAACAGGGGCTTCAGTAATAAGGACAAACTATGACTATAGTAAAGTTATTCTAAACCCACTCTAACAAATTTAAAAGCAAAGCTCGAAAGGATTAAACTGATATGTAACTTAAAAGTCTGCTGGAATAAATTTCAACACTCACTCTAAGGAAAATACAAACTCTGGCACCCAGGAATGAAAAGTTGACAATTTTCAGCAATCAAAATTTTTTAGAGGGCTGGGATTGTGGCTCAGTGGTAGAGCGCTCGCCTAGCATGTGCGGGGCCCTGGGTTCGATCCTCAGCACCACATAAAATAAATATGTAAAACAAAGATTGTGTCCAACTACAACTAAAAAATAAATATTAAAAAAAAATTATTAGAGGGCTGGGGTTGTAGCTCAGTGGTAGAGCACTTGTCTTGCATGCGTTCGATCTTTAGCACCACATTAAAAAAATAATAATAAAAATAAAGATATTATGTCCATCTAAAACTAAAAATAAAATTTTAAAAAGTTATTAGATATGTAAAGTAGCAGGAAAACATGATCCTTAAGCAGAAGAAAATTATTGATGAGAAACAGGCCCAGAAAAGACAAAGGTGATTAAATTAACAAGCAAGCACATTGTTTTCTTTCCTTTTTAATTCCCCACTGCTCTAGGATTGAACCCAGGGTCAGTGAGTCACATCCCCATTCCTTTTGTATTCTTCATTTAACTGACCTCAAACTCGTGATCTTCCTGCCTCAGCCTCCCCAGTGGATGGGACTATAGGCATGCACCACGATGTCCAGTTCAAACAAGAACTTTTAAAGAACTTAATATAAATATGTTCAGCATGATTGAAGATTGAAAGGAAAATGTGAACATAATAAAGAAAGAGATGGTAAATGTTAAAAAGAATCAATTGGAACTTCTGTAAATGAAAAACAAATATCTAAAATGAAAAATTGAGTGGATGGTATTAAAAGCAGATCAGATATTACATAAGAAAAGTTGGTGAACTTGAACTGGGGATGTGGCTCAGTGGCAGAGTGTTTGCAAGGCACATGCCAAGCCCTGTAACCAATCCCTAGTACTGGAAAAAAAAAAAAAAAACTGGTGAACTTGAAGACACAGCAATAGGAGATGTATAAAATGAAACACTAAGGGGGAAAAAAGACTAAAAATTTTAACATAGTCTCAGTGATCTATGGAACAATATGAAGTGGTTTAACAGAGTATATTTGCAGTGCCACAAAGTGGTTGCAGACAGACAATATATATGAAGAAATAATGAATGAAATGTAGTTGGTTACTACTTGCAACAGTTTTCCCAAACTCATGAAAATAATAAACCCACAATCTAAGGAGTTCAACTAACTACAAGTAAGAGGAATAATACATACTATAATAAAATAGCTAAAGATCATTAAGAGAAAATCTTAAAAACAGCCAGAGGACAAAAAGATGCATTATGTTCTGAAATAAAAATTATGCAAAACAAAACAATAATGGAGCAACATCTTTCAAGTAAAGAAGAGAAAAAAATCAACCTAGGATTCTATATTGAATAAAAATATCTTTCTAAAATGAAAGGAAGTACTCAATGGTAGAGCACATGCCTGACATGTGAAAGGTCTTGGGTTCAAATCCCCAGTATCACATGCACATGCACACGCGCGCGCGCACACACACACACACACACAAAAAAAAAAAACATAAAGAAATAAATAAGACTAATTTTTGCAAAACAACATACTGTGAGAATTTGTCCATAGGAAACCTGCACTAAAGAAATGTTAAAGGAGTTTCTTTAAACAGAAGACAAATGATATATGGAAATTTATAGTGTACTAGAGTTTCTCAACCTTAGCTCTATTGACATTTGGGACTGGATAATTCTTTGCTGTGGGAGGCTGCTCTGGGCATGGCAGAATGTGTAAAAACACCCAGGGCAAAGTATCTCCAGACATTGACAAATGTCTCAAAGTGAACAAAATGTCTATTATCTTACCCTCTTCATCAACTCTCTCCATGGAGACGCACTGATACATACAAGGGAATTAAGAATGCAAGAAATAGTAGGTTAAAATAATCCTAAGTTAACAACAGCAGTATGACTTGCAAATAGAATCTCAGTATCTTTTGTTTCTTTGTGGTTAACTTAATTGCTAACTAGTTGCTAAAGAACTTATTTGTGGCTGGCACACTGTCTCACACCTGTAATTCCAGCTACTTGGCAGGCTGAGGTAGAAGGATTACAAGGTCAAAGCCAGCCTCAGCAATTTAGCAAGACCCTGACTCAAAATACAAAATACAAAAAACTGAGCCTGGGTGCAGTGGCACATGCTTATAATCCCAAAACTTGGGAGGTTAAATCAGAAAGATCACAAGTTTGAGGCCAGCCTCAGCAACTTAGTGAGCTCCTGTTTCAAAACAAAAATAAAAAGAACTGGAAACATAGCTCAGTGATAAAATACCCGTCAGTTCAATTCCAGCACAGAAAAAAAAAATTGTCTTGGGCCTGAAAATATTGCTCAGTGGTAGAATGCTTGCCTAGCATGTGCAAAGCTCTGGGTTTGATCCTCAATATCATTTAAAAAAAAGAACTTATTTGTAAGCATAGGGGATGTAACTCACAACACGTGAGTAAAGAATGAAGAATTTTAAAAATTAAAATTATAAATGCTTAGTATAAAAACATTTAGAGGAAATGTATTATCCAAACATAGTGATTGTTAACTTTCTGGTCTGTATCCACCCAGTGATTCTTCTATACATGATTTGACTGCTATTATCACATACACCTTTATTAATATTATATTAACAATAATTCCTTAGGCTAAAAAAAGGATAAATAGTAGAATGACATTCTACTAAGTACCATACTGCTTTTCTAAGCTCTTTTTCATCCTGGTAGGTAGATATTTAGGTGATTCCAATTGTTTTACTTTTATTACAATGTTGTAATAATAATCTTTATGGAAAAAATTTTTCCATTTTGAGTTATTTTCTTAAGAAAAATTTCTGGAAATGTCTTTCCTAGATTAGCCAACAGTCTCTGGAAGGCTGAAACTGTCTCAACGTTGCATTGCCCCATAAAAGCTCAGGAAATGTTTAGTAGGAACTTACAGTGTGCCTAAACTGAACTGCGGTGTGGTATAACTGCACTCACACTAACCAAGTTCCGCAAACTACACATGTGTAGGAAAACCTACCAGAAAGCTGGCTTTGTTCATAAATTTCTACTAAATTCCAGCTGTGTTTTTGAATTGCAAAGGGACCCTTACCTGCAGCAGAAGCAAAGGCAAATTTTCAGGTGAGTACTCTCTTCTTAGGCAGCTCTCTAGCTCCCTCTGCAGGACATCTGCCTGAATAACAAGGGGCTTCGGCTCAGCCACCTAAATCCAAAAACTAATTTTAATATCCCAAATGGAGAACTGTAAAATTTCAAATCTCCAAGAAAACAACGGCCTGCTCTTATTCAGCAGGGATATTTTGGGGGGGATGTTTTGTTATCGTACACAGTGTCAATAACATCAGCTGTTTGATTGCAAAAATAAACTTTCCTTGCTAAATTTCCAAGTTAGCAAAATCAAATTTATTGTTGTGTTGAAAAGGTCCACCATTACCCTCACCTGTAAGGTTTTCTTCAGTGCCAGTTCCCTTTCTCTTCTAAAGTAAGAGATGTCCTTTGGTATTTGAACAGAGCTGCAGAAAGATTTATGCAACAGAGCTGTAATCACAGAAGCTGTAATCAGATTATAGCTGGGCCTTGATTAATCTGTAACTCTTCACAACTGCTCATTCTCAAATAAATATATCATATTATAGTAGATTATGGAGGGAATGTACAGGCCACATTCTTGTGTCTTAGAATCTTTCTCTCACAGACCTGATATTGGCTAACCCTTTCCCCAGGGTAATTTCTCTCTCCTTTTCCCCCACACAAATATGGTCTGTCCTTCTATTCATAATTTGCCTCACTATTTCCTACTCCAGAGTCCAGAGAGGGACATATGGTAAGAATTTTTATTTCCCCTGCCTTTATTCCTCCAGGAATATCTCTGCTTTAATTCTTCCAGGAACCTTATCTCTAACAAGCACTGAGCTTTACCAAATCTCCCTCTTGCCCTAGTTGACGCAGAGCACTGGTATCTTGTAAAAATTTTTAAAATGTTTTTTACTTTGTGTTCTTGCTGAATTACCTGAAGGTGAAGGTGACCTTAAATATCAAACAGGAAACACTCTAAGAATTACTGTACCCAAGTTTTCTGCCTCAGGAAGACTATTGATCTGTAGGATAAGCAGACTTAGAAGAAGTGCCTGCTGGTGCAGCCTGATGGACCCTGGTCAAGCCCCGCCATGATGAGTTGTTCTCATCAGGGACTCTCATGCAGGCAGCATAAGCTGCAGGTCCAGGTAAGCAGGTGGGGTCTGGTCAGCAAGAGCAGGGCTCTCCCTATCGGGTTTAAGATGCATCCCAAGGCTTAGCAACATTGAAACACCAGGGGACAGTAACCCTGATGCAGATGCTACTTTCTCAAGATGGGATGTTGTAGACATTGGCAAAGGAGCCACAGTAGGCAGTTCTGGAACACATGAAATGACCTAGAAATTTTGAGGGAGGTGGAGGCAGTGAAATTTAGGTTCCTATTCTTCATACGATCCTACTTGTCCTCACAGATAAGTTGTTTGTTTGCTTTTCCAGCACTGGTGATACAACTCAAGGGTGCTCTAGCACTGAGCTACATCCCCAGAATTTTTATTTATTGTTATTATTACTTTTAAAATTTTGAAACAGAATCTCATTAAATTGCTGAGGCTGTCCTCAAACTTGCAATCCTCCTGCCTCAGCCTCCCAACTTACTGGAATTTCAGGTGTGGCCCATCAGGCCGGGTCCCACAGAGAAGTTTTTAAACTTCATGTTAGTTTGTACACTTGCCAGCAAGTGGTTCTGTGAAAAGAACAGGAGGTTGACAGGAGATTGGTCAACTGCATGAATCTAAGCAACTCATTTAGACACTCTGTCAAATTTCTCCCTCTGAAGCTGGGGCATTGCCTCCCTTAACTTTCTCCTCCTACCTTGGCTTTGATGGGAAAAGAAAGAAGCAAACTCTGAAAAGGGCTTGAGAGTAAATATGTCAACAAATCAAAGGTATAACTTGCATCTTGGCCACAGCCTCAAGGAGGAGAAGAGGCAGTGGACAACCAGAAAGGAGATGGGCTACTCGACAGGGAAAACAGAAGAAAACTTCCTGGCCCTCTTGTCTCCTCATCTTTGGCAAACTGGGAGACTGGGCAGGGTCCCAGGCTTGGCTGCCCAACCCTCTCACTCAGATCACATCGTTCCTCTCAGTAAACCTCAAAGTGCCTGGGAGTGACCTAAAAGCGGCTGGTGAAACTAAGTGATGTGTACACTGACCCACAAATAGAGATTCACGCCTGTATGTCCATTTACCACACAGCCATACACTTATTCAATCAGCAGGCACATAAGAAACACAACCATTGCAAAGTCCAGCGCTTATGAGCTGAAATGAGGAAAAGAATGGGGGCGGGAGAGGAAGGGGAGGGTGGAGATAAAGAAAGAAAGATGATTTTTTTTCAGTGCCCTGGGAATACTTATTGGGAGTGGATACTTCCATTTTCCTTGGACTCCGGAACATAGCACAGTACTGGTGCTATGTTCTTACTAACAATCCTGGGTGGTTTGGGGGAGTAGAGAAATATGGGTACCCAGGAATTCCCATTGAAACTGGGGAGGAAAAGGCTTTGCTGCTGGTTATGCCTCGCTAAAGCTTAGGAGACTGGTTTGCGAGGGAACAGGTTTTACTGAAAGCCAATGAGAAGAGAGAAGACTTTCTTTCTCACAGAGGGTGTGGAAAGCTTTTATAAGAGAGAGGCAGAGAGGGATGGTAGCCAGGGAATATAATCTGTAGATTTAGCTTGGCTGTGTCTATCTAGCCAGAGAGTCTTGGTCCAATTTCCTTGGTGACTCTCCCCAGCATGAGAAAGTTTTCCGGTCTCTGTAGGAGGGTGTTGAGGAGCTATTTTATCTTCAGTGTGCCCTAAAAGGGCCTTTCCCAAAGCTTTTACACTTGCCTAACTCTCTTGACATGTAAGTTGTAATAATATCGACCCTTTATTTTTGCATATGAAAAACTTGGGTTTTTTTCTAGTTTTCAAAATGCTTTAACATGCATTATGTCATTTGATCCTCACAACCTAATAAAGGAGGAAAGGTACATACTTTTTAAAAATATGTATATATTTTAGTCGTATGGACCTTTATTTATTTATTTTTATTTATATGCTGTGCTGAGAATTGAACCCAGTGTCTCACACATGCTAGGCAAGTGCTCTACCACTGAGCCACAACCCCAGCCCTGGATACAAACATTTTTTTACTTCATTTTTTAAATAAAGAAACCAAATTTGAGAGAAATTGTGACTTACATGGGTCACAATCTTTCCATTTCCTCACACAACTGCAATAGCTTCAAAGACCCATCACAAAGCACACCATATAATAGTTCTTCAGAATCGTCTTTCGAACGAAGCACTAATTCACCTGGTTACTGCCTCTTCCAATCTCCTCTCCTTATTGCTCACCATCCACCTTGTGCTTACTCTACCCAACAGAGTTTTCATGTTGTTCCTTTTGATGAATTATAACAGAAACAAAGGAATGTGAAGATCCAGGGCCCATGAGACTCCCCACTTAGGGACTGATCTGGCTACCCTACTTAAAAGAATTTGATGGCTCTTACTGGCAACATTTACCCTCTAAAAGAATTCCTAATCCAACAGCATTTTGTAGAATTCATTACGAAATACCTAGCATTATTTCAGGTTTTAAATTTCTCATCAAAATCAAGATCAAACTCAGTTAAAATGTTATAAGATGAAGTCTCTTTATGGAGTATGATTTCTACAATAGTTTCTGGAACTTTAGGATGGTAGTGTTCTTGAACATGTAGGAACATTTCCCCACTTTCTTCAGTGAGACATTGATTGTTCCAACCTGCCTTAACAAATCTAGAATGTAGGAAAACTTTAGAGGCAACAGTTGGGTTAGAAAAGTGCAATTGGTCTATGTCTGTACCACCCTGAATGCTCATGATCCTGCCTGAGCTCAAAAGCTATGCAGGTCTGAGCCTGGTTAGTATTTGGGTGGAAGAAAGGGGTGCCGAATCTGCTTTTGTATGTCATTTGTCTGAGTTTGAGATCACGTCAAAAAAAAAGAGCGGGGAGGACTGATGGAGATTATGGGGTAAGAGCCGGAGGTAAAGCCCTGAGGACCACACTTTCTCACTCCTACTATTTACCTGTAAGCTCGATGAGCTTCTCCCTGAAGGATCTCCCGTTCTTCTATTTCAGAGTTCAGTTCACTCAATTGCACCGCCAGTTCTTTCTCCAATAGCTGGGTCCTCTCTGTGGAAGTGATCTTATAAATTTCATCCATGTTTTGCATTTGCTCTTTTTCCGTATCCCTGAAAAACGAGAGCATAAAGCTTGTGGCTGACTTCCCCAGCAACCATTATCCAGCCGGTGGGACTTGATCTTTCTCCAAGAAATATTGTCAACTTCATGGAAAAACATGCTTTTGCAATTTGAAGGAACATTTGGGTTAGACTGTTGTCGTTTATAATTTATTACCATTATGTAAATAGTAGAGAGAAAGTAGGCTAGACTCTCCACTCACCAAAATCACCTGCTTAAAATTGGCAACTGTTAGAAGAAAACATAGGGTCAACACTCCATAAGATTGGTTGCAGGCACTGACTTCTTCAACAAGATCCCTAAAGCTCAAGAAATAAAACAAGAATCAATAAGGGAGATGCTACCAAATTAAAAAGTTTCTGCACAGCAAAGGAAGTGATTTGAGAGCATTGGTACCACCAGTGATGAGAATCAATCAGGGCCAAGTTCCATTTCTCCAGATGTGACAATGGAACACTGGAGACTCCGAGGTAAGCATAGAAGGCAAGTTTTATTTAAAGGATAGAACAGAGACAGACTTCTCCCCAGAGAAGGGGTCCAGAGCTGGTATCCAAAGATGGGGTAGTGTCCTCCCCCTTTTATACATTTTAGATTTTCTTTGGCGGCAGCAGCAGCAGGTAAGGCTTAGCCCGGCCGTCCAGGGACCCTGGCTCCTCAAGCACTCACTGCCGGCCCATTCCACCCGCAGCTCACAAGCCTCCTGTGGGCTTGAGTCCTCAGGCTGTGAACTAGCCCCAGCTACACCAGCACCTCCAATGCTTCAGGGGCTCCTGGGCTCTGATGACGAGGAACAGGAAGACCCCAAGGACTATTGCAAGGGTGAGGCAGATCTTGGGTACATGTGGCCAGATTGCCAATGCAGGAGCTCAGGTCAACCTGGAAGGAAAAGGGTGCCTAAAGGCTGGGCCCACGTGTGCTGGGTGGCTGGTAGGGATCGCTGTCCTGGGGAACAGGAAGGGAGACACCCCCACGATGATCTACTGGCTCTCTTTGGCAGGTGGCTACTACCCAGTGAAGATCGGTGACCTGTTCAATGGGCGGTACCACGTGGTGCGAAAACTGGGCTGGGGCCACTTCTCTACCGTGTGGCTCTGCTGGGACGTCCAGTGAGTGGCCCCTCCGTCCCCAGGACCCGGTGCTTGCTGGGATCCTGCTTTGGGCTTGGTTGAGGCCACCACTATTCTCATGCCCTTTCCCCCCTTATCTTGCTTTTCTCTTCTCCCCATCTTGCTTACGTGACCAGTGGTCAGGAGATGAGCCAAAAGGTGAGAAGGAAGCCCTCCAGGTGTAACTTTCTACATCTGCTCAAACAGGCAGCTCTGGAGATGCTTGTTAACAGCCCTTTGGGAGGAACTGTTCCCTATAGGCAATGGGTGGAGGGGAAGGGCTTTGGAGATGTCAGCTTTGGATTTTCTTTTCTTTCCTTTCCAATCAGCCCCCATCTTCCCAATCGAACCCAACTGTTTATTAAATATATTGATGGCCATTTGTTTCCCAGCTTCAGCATGAAAAGAGAAACTACAAAATAGAAGAAATTTTTTTTTTTTTTACCAGTTACTGCTCTGACAGGGGATTAATATCCAGAATATACAGAGAACTCAAAAAACTTAATACTGATAAATGGTTGGAAATGGAGAACATCATGCTAAATAAAAGAAGCAGATTCAAAAAATCAAGGGTCGAATGTTTTCCCTCCCGTGGAAGCTAGAGCAAAATAAGGGAAAAAAGAGCAGGGATCAGATGTCATGAAGATATAGGGAAGATCAATGGAGTGGAAAAAGGAAATTGAGAGGGAGGAAGGATAGGAAAGAGGAGGAAATGCAAATGAATTTAATAAAATTGCATTGTGTGCATATATAAAGATACCATAGGGAATTCCACCTTTATGTATATACTGTAAATAGTAGAAAAAAAGTAGGTTAGACTCTCCACTCACCAAGATCACCCTCTAAAAATTGGCAACTGTTAGAAGAAAATATAGGGTCAACACTCCATAAGATTGGTTGCAGGCACTGACTTCTTAAACAAGATTCCTAAAGCTCAAGAAATAAAACAAGAATCAATAAGGGAGATGCTACCAAATTAAAAAAGTGATCAAAAATTAATAAATGAGTGAAAGGGAGATAAATAAAATAGAAGAAGGAAAATAGTGGGAGGTTGGGGGGGGAGTGGGGAAGAAAGGGAGTAAATCAAATTACATGCATGTATGATTTTGTCAAAATAAACCCAACTACTGTGTATGACTACAATGGTATAACAAAAAAAAATTGTCTGCTGAATTGGTACCATATAAATGACAATGAACAACGAAGACTTCCTATTTTGAAATGAGACCAATGCAGGGGAAGGACAAGATGATTGGGGACCCAAATAGAGGTCATGCCCTGTGTGAAGAGGTTATCTTCTTTACCCAATGGTATCCAAAGTCCCATACTGCCTCAGGAATCACCAAACGCACCAGGCAGGGGACATGTCCCTGAATCCTACGGAAAAAAAAGCATCTTTCAGTCTGAAAAATCCACAAACTCTAACAGAGCCCAGGCAAAGGCAAAGAGAACAGATCTACAAAAGATACCATTAGCATTTCTACTCTTCTGGCAAGGCACTGAGGCAATTGAAATTAGTGTGATGTGTAGAAAATGAAGGAATCCTGTGTTTCCTGGTGCTTTTTTTCTGGGAGTGGTGGTGCACTCCTGATCCAGGCTACTCGGTGATACCACCAGTTATCCGAGCCGAGTTCTGCTCCCTCAAGCACACTAAGTCAAGCATATAATGCAGGGTTTGCTTTAAAAGGAGTAACACACACCTCTCCCAGGAGAAGGGAGCCAAAGTTGTATCCTGGGATCCCAAGAAGTGAGGATGTCTAGCCCCTTTTATACATCCTAGATTTCTTTGTTCTTTTGCCTCCCTACCCCCCCCTTATCTCTCTCTTTCCTGCATATGTGACTAAGCTCAGGAGATGGCCCTTGTGGGATGCCCAAAAGGTGAGAAGCAGATGGGCAGGGGGAAGAGCCAATGGAGTCATCCACGCAGGAAGCAGCCCCGGAGACAATAATTAACAACTTTTATTATTCCCTGTAGGGAGGGACAATTCCTGGGACAGGTTACCTTAACAACAGGTTGGAGCAGGGGCAGGTTATCTTTTTTTTTTTTCCTAATAATTTTTTAGTTGTAGGTGGACACAATGCCTTTATTTTTATTTAGTTATTTTTATGTGGTGCTGAGGATCAAACCCAGTGCCTCACTCAGGCTAGGCCAACGCTCTCCCACTGAGCCACACAGAACCCCTGCCCCTAGGGGCAGGTTATCTCCATGAGGGTGGAGGAAGGTCTCTAAAGACATTAACATTTCAATCCCTCAGGGATGGTCTCCAAATTGGCCTCCATTCTCTCTATCTGACCCGATTACCTATCTGCACTGACTGCCTGTCTTTAATTCTGGCTTCTTCGGGAGGCTGCAGCAGGAGGATCTCAAGTTCATGGCAAATTCAAAGCTGTCCTGGGCAACTTGGCAAGATCCTATCTCAAAAAAGGGTAGGGGAGGGAGGGGTGTCTGGGGTTGTAGCACAGTAGAGTTCAGTGGTAGAGCACTTGCCTGGCATGTATGAAGCCCTGGTTTGGACCCCAGTACCACCAATGAAAGAGAGTGAGCCTTTTTTTTCTCCAGTTTCTGAGGATTTGAACTTAAAACTGAAAACTAGCTCAGCATTCATTGATAAAGGAATGAATTAAACCTATAAGGACAGATCCATAATACTTAGTATTCTTCCCTTAAATATGTTCTTCCCCCTTTGACCATTTAAAATATACAAAAATTACAAGGAAATTAATAGTAACCCCATGAGGCTGGGGCTGTAGCTCAGTGGCAGAGCGCTTGCCTTGGATGTGGAAGGTACTGGGTTCAATCCTCAGCACCACATAAAGGCATGCTGCCCATCAACAGCTACAAAAAATAATAATAATAAAAAAATAGTAACACCATGAAATCACTGGATATGATCTAATTATGTTAATGTCCTCACATTAATATGTTTTCATATATATTTACCTATGTGTGGGTATATGTATGTGGACATGAAATTCCTCGCTTCAGTATGAATAAATTATATGAATTTTAAAAATGTTCTCTGTTTCACTTTTGACTGTGGGGGTTTATCAGGTGAGAATGTGTGCCTCTTGCCCCACCTTCAGGTTCTCAAAGATTTGTGGAGATTATATTCTAAATACTGTGAATGGCAGTTATTGCTGACATCTAATCTGCTTCAACTGGAACATGGGTATGTACAATATTCTCTCCACATAGCTAAAGTGTTTATCTAAAGGGTTTTTTAAATTATTATTTGTTTGAAGACATGAGCTTCTGGCTATGCAAAATATACCAAGGATGGAGAACTGTTTAACATGATCATGAAGCTGGATGCAGTGATGCATGCCTGTAATCTCAGTGACTGGGGAGGCTGAGGCAGGAGGATTGGGGATTCAAAGTCAGCCTCAGCAACTTAGCGAGACCCTAATAACTCAGTGAGACCCTGTGTCTAACTAAAATACAAAATAGGACTGGGGATATGGCTCAGAGGTACAGAGTCACTGGGTTCAAACCCCAGTCCAAAAACAAAACCAAAAACAGCATGATCATGATCCATTCATATTTGGGTTTGGAAGAAAATTATACTTGTGCATTAAATGTGTTTTCTTCATTTTGACTGTCTATATTCGACTTCCTGATTTTACCAATGGATAAAAATAGTGGATAATTTCCACCCCACTCCCATCTGGTTCACAGTCAAGACAAATTCAACATAACTTTTAAGTACCTGGTGTCCATATTCTAATTTACAATGACCCACAAGTCCAGAGACCCATGAATTGCAGGGGATTCAATAGATGATGTGTTTCTGCCTGTACCTGCCCTCCACAAGGAGGAATAAAGTCACTGTTAATTCATGTGTCCGAGATTTAAAAT